ACCACCACCCCAGCTGATCATGATCATGATCATCGTCATCAACATCATCACAGCTATACCTGTTGTGTTGGTGGGAAAAACTGTTTTCGCAAGATCAATGTGTCCCTTCAACACACGCGTGTAGCATTCTTGGTGCCATGGTGAAGGAGTACCATAATGCATCACGCGCGAGATATTAGTCGTACCGTCTCTGTAGATATATGAAAAATAATCAATGACTCGCTACAGCCGCGAATGAAATCAATCTTGTTATGATAACAAATTCTAGATATTGCACATGCAAGTAAATAGTGTTAATGTTGGCTTCAAGTGCAACCGTCTAAACAAAATGGGAGGAATGTTTTGCGTAAGTGTTCTTCATAGCAGCATAGCAGTCCTTGGAAGTGACCCAGTTCTTTCCCGTCATGCAACAACCTTTAACAATCGAGACAAATCGAATGACAAGGATTCTTGTTTGTGCGGTTTTCGTATGAGTGGAAAAGCGATACTTTGTAGCTTTAACTACGCGTTGTAGGAATTGGAAGAAAGTGGGAAACATTACCATGTTAATACATGCGCATGTCTTACCGTGTACGTGCTGTAAGTCACTACCGTCTGTTTCCCACTCATACGTTAACTGCTTTAAACATTTGAGAATGGAATTAGCTCCATAATTAATGCAGATGTATTGGTAAAAGAAAAAATCCTTACAAATAGTGTCTTCCTGACGCGTTAAAGTACATCCCTTTGTCAGTTATCGTCTTGCCAGTTTCGGAGCTAAAACAATAATGAAATAAATTTTATTAATGAAATAACTTTGGGCGGGACAAAAATATCTTTTAATTGGAGAATCGTGTTTCATCAAACATATTTACTCGTAAAGATATTCCGAGCTAGCTCTATTTTGAAATATCTTGCGTCAACAGGGTATCTTTATAGAAACAATTCAATTCCAAGCTTTCGGATATCAACATCATCACCCGTCATCATCGTTTCGGATCTCTGGCCCATCTTCAGTGAAAGGCGGCCATGCATGAGGCACCCTGCCATCACCTATCCGTCCAATCAGATCTCTCGGTAACGACAAGAAGAATTTATTCATTTCATTTGTGAAGGCGCGTCTGTTTTCCCGCCTAAGTTGTTGGGCTGGATTATAGTAGAGTTGCTTCTTGTTTTTTTCTGTGTGTTTCAAAAGTTTTTCTCCGGGTTTCCTTCCAGCTCCACAAAAATCAAATTCTAAATTTCATCATGGAACAAGGGTCACATAACAGTACACTATTAAAGAGTGTTATTCTCGAAAAACAAGAACGATTTAAGGGACAAAATCAAAATCTTGTTACTCAGCGCCAAAGACAAATCTTAATTTATTATATTCTCTTGAAATCCAGAAAAAAACTGATTCTGTTCAGTACCTGTCACTAGGGTTTCCATCTCCAAAAAAAGAGTGCGTCTTGAAGGAGAGGTCCAGAAAATCATTTTGCTGCCTAATGAGACAAAATAAATATCCTCATTATAATACATATATTATAAAGTAGTATTAGCTATTCCGAGGTTGTTGAGGAAAAAACTGGATGGAGCTGGCATTGCGGTGCATGTCGGGAGCACATTTCCAAGATGGCGTCTATTTCATCCCCTGAAACAATCCCAAAATGCACTGCAATGCCAACTTCACCTAGTGTTTTTCCTTAAACTCGGAGCGGATAACAGACTCCTTGTAGTAAATCCCAGCCTAGGAGGGGGGAGGGGGAGGGG